GATGAACAGCATGAACTTGTAGTACCCATAATGGCATAATAGTAATATACTCTTAAACTTTGTGTAAATAAAAATAATCGATTTTATTAATTTTTTTTTACTAACACAAAAATGTAATTAAATATCAGTGCCTATACTTAATTTGTGCAACAATAATATAGGGATACTTACAAAAATACAAATTACAAACTAATTTATAAATTTAATATACGTTACCAATACAGATAATAATTCGATTCATGCAGTACCGCTGTCTCGAACATGCTCACATAGACGCGCAACGCTAGGAAATACTGAACGTCTGGACAGTAGACAAATGACAATTCTTAATTCATATTTTATAAGATTATATGAATCAATGGCAAATGACAATGATGTGTAGGGTGATCTGGTGGGAATATGCTTCTCGAATATTCACGGCAATCTAATGGGTATTTCCATGTTTCTGATAATTTATAAAAGTAAAAATAACAATCGTACTCCAGTCGTCTACATGTCCCGTGATAGCAGCGCTTTGGTATTATAATGCTATCTTATATTATTTATAAAACTATATTATTATAATGCGTTGTATATATTCGACATTCGAGCATTCGACTATTAACTATAAAGTATTTAATCAGTGGCGGTTGCCGGTTTGTGAGTGAGGCAAGTCGCAAGTGAGACGGCGTCTCGGCTAAAATTTTGTGGTAAATAATACTCAAAATGTGAACTTCTCGGTTCACTAATAGCACATATTTCGTTAATAATTTTTAACGTATTTATATTATATTATAGTATCACCTATATCATTCCGTGTTTATCATCAAAAATATCGATAAGCCGCGATAAAAGATACACGAAATAATTAGTATTTAGTACGTAAACGAACACCGGTATTTCAGCGTATTTCCAATGACGTTAGAGAGACACCTGATATCGTTTAACGTCGTCTCTGATTTTGTACTTGTGTAATGAGTAATGTAATGACTAATGAAGTAATGAATAGTGTACAAAAATTTCAAAAATTACACACACACGCGCATGTACACAACTGGTGAATTAACTAGAATTCCGCATGCGCAATGATAGGCTCGTTTTTCATCGCCTCTGTGTATTAATAATAGATCTATTTTTAGTATTATAATAATATTGTCTGCCCCACGCCAGTAGTCATGGCTGCTTGTCTACTTCGAAGTACGACAGGCAAAATAAATATTTAGTTTTATTGTTTAAGAATGAATTATTTTAACTACATTTTTAGAAAATGTTATCCATTCTTATAAGCGAAAATGAGTTAACAGTATTAAATATATACACTAAAAATGTCAAAAAAATACTCTAAAAAGTAATTAATAGTCTTAAAAATGCAAAATAAAAGTTACTATTTTTAATTCCTTGATGTATGAAATTAACTTTGTGCTTAAAAAGCAATAAAAAATGTGATAACTATAAATATTATTAATAATAGGTATTATAATTATTATATTATTATTAAAAATAAAATATATTGTAATAATTATTATATAATTATTCATTAAATTATTAGTTAAAAATATTTAATAAATATAAAGATAGATTATTTATTTATTGTTACATTTTAAGATTCATTTAATGTATGATTACCATTAAAAATAAAATATATTTTATAAAATAAATAGAAAATAAAAATAAAATATTAATTATAAATATTGAATAAATGAGAAGTTTTAAATAATAAATAAATATTTATTTATTTATTTATTTATTGAATATTTATTCAATATTAAAATATTTTGTTGATTAAATGTTAAATTTTAAGATTTATTAAACTTTTTATTGTCTTTAAAAATTAAATATTGTTAAATATTTATTTATAAATATATAATATGTTGGTTACAACGTAAAAAAGTACAATATATTATCAACATTGTATTAACTTTTACTTTTAAATATTTAAAAATCAATTTAAATTTAATATTTATTCAATGGATTTGATTTACAAATGCTGTGGGTCCATTAGGAAATAATGCTTGATAATCAATATCAATCTGAAACAACATAGTATATTTAAACATAAGAAAATAAAAAAGAAAATAATTATTTCAATTAATTACTAGTTTATGGCCATAAGAAATTGAATATTGTTTCCAATTTTTTAATATATTTGCTGTTGACTCTGAATTCTTAATGTAATTAAGTCGATAGTTTACACTTACTTTCCAGTTTTTTTCAATTTCAGGAAATGAACTGTTGTTATGTTTCAATTCATGTAATATATAATCTATTTCATTTTCTGATACTACAAATAATATAGACATTATAATATATATTATGTATATTTTAATTTATAAATTAAATATTTTACCAAATGTCCTCTCAGTCCAACTCTCTTTCTCTTGATTTCTGCTACCCATTTTATTTTTTTCTAATTTAGTTGTAGTATGAATTAACCCAGTATTTTTCAGATTTCTCATTGAGTTATAATACTTGGCATACAATTTGCCTTTTGGGTTTTTATTGCATCCAATTTTCATGAAATAGGTATCCTGTAGATTTTAATTTTGGTAACTATTATTATTATGATAGCAATAAATAACAAATTAAATATCTTTAATTTCAGAGTTAAACATTGCCACTATTTGATCTGTTATAGATTCAACTAAGCTTACAGACATTTGTATGGGCTGTGATAGTATATGCCTAATAAGTATGTCGACCAATGTTGATCTAATACCATCATTTAGCTTATTATTCTGTCTATAATAGTCCAATATTAAAGAACCTTGTGTTGATGAATTTAGAATTACATCAACTTTTAATTCTTGGCTTGATTTAAAAGATTTAAGAAGAGGTTCTAAATTTGGTTTGTTCATTGATGTTTCAGCAGACTCTGTTATTTTATTTATATAAACAATATTTAAATTGATTTTCCATTTTTCTAGTTCAGATTCAAATTTTACTAGGACGCCTAATGGATATGTTAATAATAATTTATCAACATGTCTAGTTTTTAAAAGCCGAAGAATTTTCATATCAATTAGTTGATCTATACAAAAAAAAAATATATTAGGGTAATAAGTGATTAAGTGTTAATCTAATGTTAATTTTGTGGTATACTTATCATACCAATACAAGTTTGATATACACATGTTAATCCCCAATCTTCTAATACTTTCTTCAGTTTTGGTAAATCTTCAGCTAGATAATGCAATTCTGACATTTGAATGGAACTTTTTTGAAGATATATATCAGGGTTCATAATTTCTACTGCTTCGGTGGGTGGCTAAGGTTTTAACAATACCAATAAACATTGCTATTACAGAATATAAGTAACTCGATAAATAAAAAAAACATAATTTTTTAAAAAGTAATTTATTAAAAAAAAATTACAGTACTTACAAAGAAAAAGAAGCATAATTACAATTAATTACAAAAAAAGCATCATTTTTAAAAAGTAACTTACAAACAAATTGTTGACTTAAAGGAACCTTATTTCACAAAACTGCTTTAGGATAGTAACAGGATAGCTGCTCTCCTGATAGATAGATAGGTAGGTACTGATCATTGGATGATATAAAATACTGAACTTGAATTGTCATAAGAATATATGATTGTTGTTTAAAATACCTTTAAATATAAAATTAATCCGTGTTAATCATAATAATTAAGTCTTATATCAGAACATTATAATTTATAACAAAATAGTGGTGCATACTATAACTAAAACATTATTAAGATACTAATTCTTGGTAAAACATATACCCATAAAGATCTTTGGTAAAGTCTAGTTGCACCACTGACAATAAAAGTAAAACAAAAATGTATAGACTTACTAGTAAGCATATAATATAAGTTTATAATTAATAAGTCGAGTATATGATCTTGGTGTTGACTGCAATATTAGAAAAAAACACTACAGATCACAGAAAATAATATAAAAAAGCATAATACACAATGTTGTTGATATCCAATAGGCCAAAAGATACGCGTGTATGCTGTATGCTAAGTTCCATACAGCAATATTTAACTAGTTATAAACTTTTAACTTATAAAGCTAAAAAGAAAACCATGAAAAAAACTTTAACGCGTGGTAAAGTATTGGCAGCTATAGCTATATATATATAAGCGGTAACAAAAATGTATAATGGTCGATGGTTAATTTGATAATATAATTGAATAATAACACATGCAAGTGTGACGTCCTTTTAATCAAAAAAAGTTTTTGTCCATACTGATTTTTTAAAGTTATTCTGTTAGTAATGGAAATATTATTTACCATTTTTTTTTTGCATAAAAGAACAAGGTTTTGTCTTGATTTTGAGAACATTTTGGTTAGAGATTTTTCGTTTTGAAAATAACTTCAAGACTATTTTATGCCTTAATTACCTATTTATTTAGTTTCAAGGTGTACATAAAAACTTATGTACATAAAATTACAAGTTGAATTGTTGCATATGATTTTTAAAACCCAACTTTTATATTTAAATTTAAGCAGTAGCATACATTAATAATTTGTTACATTTTCCTTTAGGTTGTTCCCGAGCATATTAACTTAAAAGTATTAGGACAAGATAACGGTGCTGCCCACTTCAAAATTAAGATATACACTCCGTTGAAAAAGTTAATGAACGCGTATTGTGAAAGAACTGTAAGTATTTAATAAGAGCAATAACTGGTTATATAAATACTAAACATGTTATAAATTCAAAAGTCCTCTATCTTACAAACAACATTAGTGTTTACAATTGTATATTTGGTAAAACTTATATTTTGATAGCTTAAAAATTTAAGTAAATTAACTTATTATCTATTTTAAAGGGAAGAATATTATCTGTATCCTTTGGGTTTATATATATTAACACGTTCGTGGCCCAAGACCTTCTTGAAAATCAATGAGAAAAACTCAAACCTAATCTAATTAATTTCTAGTTCTATGTAATTATGCTTTTATAGTTTTGACCTAGAACCTATTTTTTATACCATTTTTTCCTGTTTCTAAGGCTATGTCACATATTTGTGACATGGGTTCAAATGAACAGTTATTATTACAAAAAACCCATTGTTGACATGGTTGAAAATTATATGTTGAGTGTCACATATGACACGTAGCCGGGTTATATATATATTAATATATATAATATATAGGTTATATATTAAGTTATAATAATGTCAAATATAAAATTTCATCAAAATCTTATAACTTATTTAAAAATTAAAATAATCAACATATTAATACAAGTTTAGATGTTTTTTTTTTTTTTTTTTTTTTATAGGTTTTAATAATAAGTTAACTAATCCAAATTAGGAATGTAGATTTTCCGTGTAGTAACAATCGATGGCAACATCATGTGGGTGTTGATATCCATTTAACTTTCTATGAACATTGTGTTATACTTGTGCACATAGATAGTCAATATTGAATAAGTAAAAGAATGTATAAAACTTAGTAAATGGTTAAACATATATATTTCCTTTAAATTCTATTTTGATTTAGGATCTTAATGGTGCGATTCCTAAGGATGCGTCTGTAGACGTATGACGCGACTGAATAGGTATTCCATACGACTACAAAACGTAGCCGCAAGAGATGCATGTCAGGTCTATAATGTGCATTGTTATCATATTCTCATTTTCCATATCAATATCATCGTAGTTTGTTTAAACTTTTGAATACGTCTTTCTATACATTTTCCTTTATTTAGTAATCTTTATAAGTATTATGTTATAAATCAAATAGGCATGTATGTCTACTCACATAATTAGCCAGCCAGTGGCACAACTGGGGTTGGTTTTTTTTTTTTTTGGGGGGGGATTCTGAATTTGAAAAAATAAGCATTTTCTGCAGGTTTTTGATGGGTATAAGGAATTAAGATTTAGTTAGGTTTATGAGTAAAATATTTAAATTACAAATTAAATTGTTTGAATTCTATTTCATATTGTGATACCACAAAAAAAAAGTATTATACAATCGACTATCGAGAAATCGTATTAGCAAGGTTATTGATGTTTCAAAGTTGAACGGAACGTTACAAAACGTTCCATATTGTTATATGTTCATATGTTATTATTGTTATCAATTATAATACGAATAATATTCATATTTCATGTCAATCAGCCATTTTACATGTTCCGGATAAACCATTTTTTTTTCTACGTAGAATTTGTAAAAACCTCATAATAATTTGGGGGGGGGTGTTACAAACCCCACCACCTAGTTGCGCCACTGTAACCAGCATAGAATCTTCTTCAAATGTAAAAATTGCTTTTGAAGACATTTCAAAATTACATCAAATTTATAATTTATATTGAATTTATAAATCAATATTTTTAAATTAGATCAACAATTCAATGATGATCGGTCGTCAACCACGTGATTAGAGACACAGCAGCCGCGTGGTAGTGTTGGGAATAGGTTTCATTTAAAAATAGGTAAAGCAGTTAAAATTAAAGTCTCGTCATTAGGAATCGCACCTTAAGAGAAACAAAGGTTACCAATATGTTGCTGACAAAATATTTTTGGTAGGATATTTCGTCCACGCATATATACCGTGGACACTAAATACTCTATTACATGTTTTTTTTTTTTTTTACATGAAAGCCCTTTAGTATTGTTTAATGGTCAGTATTTACTTGATAAAAAAATGAACAAAGTGGTACACTATTTGAGGAATTTTGTATCTTGAATATCAATAAATTATTTTTAACTGTCAAATATTTATACTATTTTTATTTTTTTAAACCTTATTAGCTATTCATAATTACTATCTGAACTAGTGTCCTATTGGTTAATAAACCTAATTTTGTTTATACTTTTTTTATTAATAATCTTGTAATAAATATTATTTTAAGGGTCTTGCCATGGCTACTGTCAGGTTTCGTTTTGATGGACAGGCGATTAGTGAAGCTGATACTCCTTCATCTCTTGAAATGGAAGAAGGTGATACAATTGAAGTTTACCAACAACAGACTGGCGGCTGCTTTAATTATACTTACTACTAATTCTACTTTTATATATTTACTTAAAAAAAAATTATACTTTTAAGTTTATATTTTATTTATAAAGTTATTCATGTGCATCATTTTAGTGTCGCAAATCCTAAGAACACCTTTTATGTTACTGTGTTTATCCATTGTCTACTAAGTTGGTTGTATTAAAAGTTATAATTAGACAAATGTGTTAACAATTAACACTACATTATCCAAAAAATAAATGGCATCATGAAAACAATTTTAACAAATTAAAAAACTTATTTTTACTATATATTTATGTAATCCTATATTCATATACTATTATTATTACTATTTTTTACAATTTTCATAATTTGCAAATACATTTTAAATATAATCATTTAGATTTTTTCATTATTTTAGTTACTTTAAAGGACTCATTAAAATGTGTAAATGCTACTATAATTATGGTTGTAATTAAGATAATATACTCAATACGATTTTTAAACATTGTACCGCATATTGTATATATTTTACTATATTGAACTGGGATTTCCTTTGTGCAATGAAAATCAAAATCTTCATTATAGTCTTCAACACATAAATAACATATTTACGTTTTTCTAATTCCTGAAATTAAATTGAAGCTATTATGCAAAAAGTATTTTATCCCAAAAACTTGAATTCTTTATTGAATTGCTTAATACAGAAACTCCTTAAGTTATGTCACATGTGGAGTTAATGCTCAAAATAAAACTTTCAAATATGTGAATTGGTCATGTATATTATACACACAAATCTACTAATAAAATGCAAAAAAAATGATTAAAAGGTATGTTTTGAAATTTCTTATGGCGTTTCTGTTATAAGCTATTCAATTATTTAATTTCAAATGGTTCAATTAAAAAAATTTCTAAATATATTCAAAATTGGTTATTTTTCTCATAGATGGTTTTAAATTAACACTAATATAAAAAATGCCCTACCATGATATGAAATGCATACATAAACAGTGAATTTGAATGTTGAAGGAGTATTTTTATTTTGTTGTATTATGTTTCTATATATACTTGAAAATTGATCAATGAGGTTAATCATTTCAGTTGTCAGTTTTTGCTTTGTTTTTCTTTTTATTTAATTTTCTGTTATTCATTATTTTTGTTTTTTAAGTATTACATTTAAACTTATTAATATGAATATGCTGAAATTTGGTCATACATTTAACTCTTATCTTCATTTCCATAATTATTTAAGAGTACAAAAACAATTTATTTTTTATTTTTCAATATCCAATTGTCTGAACTTAACTGACAAAAGTATTATCAAAAATTACCATACAACCTTGCTATACCAAATTTGTATTTGATTATATGTGCGAGAAGATAGTCTGAAAAAATAAAAATGTTCATACACGGTAATTTTATTTGAAATACGGTAATACTGGTTATTCTGTATGGTTTCATCATTATAAAATTCTAGCAACGCTGGGTCTGGCGTTCATCATATTACTGACCATGGTCGGGCATGTAGACACAGTGTTAAGAATATTATGATCCTAAGTAATTTTTAATTTATTAACTAACTGTTCCAAAGGATGGTACGGTTACATTGCATGGTCCAATTATTTCATGTGGTCCTGTTGAAACCTCATTTTCAGGTTTTCCTAATATTGCCATAAATAAAAATGTTGTATAATATATAACGACAGCAACTTGAAGAGTTCGTTTGAATATAGTTCAAACTTAGAAGAGTTTTGGTGTAAAAAGGCCATGGGATATCCAAACATTCGGCAAACAGCATTACGTTTTCTCATGGTTTTTTCAACCACATATTTATGTGAGCCAGGATTTTCTTCACTATTATCTATAAAATATAAAAAATGAAATCGTCTGAATCCAAGTGATGATATGCGACTGGCACTAAGCAACAGCATCGTTCCAAGAATTTCACAACTGGTAAAAGAAGCGCGCCCTAATAACATAATATAAACTGTACACACGGCTCAAACATGTTGAACTAAAAAAAAAAAAAAAATTCAGGACTTACAGGATTTAAGTGGTTTTATGTATATATGTCGTAGCCACATAGTGAAATTGACCATTTCATGAAATGGAAACGACTTTTTAACACTTCGTGAAATACGGAAATATTTCATGATATGGTCACTTTTTCATGAAACGGTCAAAGTTTCTTAATTTCGTTAATAACAGAATTTACAAACTCTCTACCGTTATCACTTTGTAACCCACTGTGCATTCTATGTTTTAAAACATATACAATATGTTTAATATGTTTCATCGGACTAACTTAAAATATTGATGTTAATATTATGTTGGTTGATAGTAAAAATAAAATGTAATGCTAATTAACATTACAATAACGTAACTAATGCACAGATATATGCCATTATAGGTTTTATATTGTATGTATGTTATAGTATGGACAGATATTAACTATTACAGATTTTATGTTACATGTATGTTTTATTTTATTATTATAATATGCAATCTACTGCGGCTGGTCATGGCCTGACTATATATAGATTATATTCAATATTTTGATCAAGTGTACAAAAATAGAAAAAAACCCAGAATATTGTTGATGAACTGCGCATACCATATCAAACATTCGCACACTAGTCTGCAGTCACCACACACTGAAACACGTCACTACGTCTGCAGCTATTGTTATTTGTTACATTCTTATTTATTTAATTCTGTTGTTTTACTTAACAATTTTTTTATATTAAGTGAATATCGCAGTATGGTTTTCGCACACATTTGTTTTTAATTACTTATTTACTTTATAGATATAAATATATCTTACTTGATATCATCTTTGTCGTCCGCTTTTTTATGAATTAAATATTTCTTCTCGGCCACAGTTAATACATCATATTTTTGTAAAATATAATAATCACGTCTTTTCTTTGCACCTCTGTGAAATTTAAATTTAAATTAGTTACCGATACTCAAGATTAATGGGTGGTCAAATTATCTATTTTGTTGGTACTTGTTTAATTTAGCATCAGTAATTTCGGCTATAATTGTCTCAATCTTCATATTTGTATATGGCTTTTTTCCCGGTTTGTCCAAATAATACTTGTTCATTCGAATGTAAAATTCACTTTTTGGATTCTTCTATATTATTAAGATTATACAAAATTATTTTAAAGTAAATATCTAAAATGCGTGAATGTGCGAGCACGATGCAATCCGTTCACTGACTATACACTTTTGAACAAAAATCTAATATGATAAATCAAAATTAATAAAATATAACCTGCTCGTTTCAGATAACTAGGTAATTTTATTTAATAGATATTTTGTATAATAGAATTTGTGGTAAAGGAATTTAGTGCTTAAATCAATAGTTATAAATTATAACTTATAACATATTTCATATCTACTAATAAAAATTATTATAAAATTTTGATAAATATTAAATATATTTTCGGTACACAAAGTGAACGACAAGATTGTGAAAAAAATTACACGATGTCAAATTGGAACGACCGTTTCATGAAAAAGTGACCATATCATAAAATATTTCCGTATTTCACGAAGTGTTAAAAAGTCGTTTCCATTTCATGAAATGGTTAATTTCACTAAGTGGCTACGACATATATCTATATATATTATTGTAGGTAATATTCATGTGATAATAACAACGTAATAATATCGATAATGTACAAACTATGCGTATTTTAACGTATATCTATATATAAACATATTATGCTCAATGACAATAAAAATTTAATAATTATATTACCTACAAATAGTTAAATCACTTAGTTATAAAGTTAAAATTAAATTACAAGGAGATGAACGCCTGAAAACTTACATAGAGGCTTAGTAATAAAACCAATATTATATTACGTAGCGTCACGAACTGTCTGACCGTCGTAACAGTGCCACAATGAAGTTTACCTAAGTGTCAGTGCACTCGATCTAGACTCTCCCTTTTATAATTTGAACAACGCCATACCCATACAGATGTTTTGAAATTCCATAGTATGATGAAGCATTTCAGTTGTATTTAAAAATGATAAATAATAATAATTTTTCAGTAAAATGTAATATTATGCAGTTGCAGAAATATAAGTTATTTTCTACTATGATACATTTTAATGTCCTTGCAGTAATAAGTTGTTAAGGTGGAAAATAAATATTTTTATGAGTTAAAATAATTACATATTTAATTAAGTATTTATGTATATAATCGTATACATATATACTTGATTTATATGTTTATATGGCGTTTGATCATAATTATCGATTATATAATAACATTTAATCATACTTTATAATAATCTAAAAAAGGTCTATAAAGTACAGATAAATATATTTTATTACATATATTATTAATTTGTGTAATAATGTATATTTAATATACAGCTTAAAAACAATATGTACATATACATTATTATTATGTATTGTATGGAATTAAATATACATAAATATGCTAAACTAATTAGGTTACTAAATTATTCAATCATAAAGAGAATTAACGAATAACGAAAACTTAATTTGGAACAAATCGTATAGTACAACTAAACATCTAGTATTTCAAAGTAAATGTGTATTGTAAAGCCACTCGGTTTTTTATGTTTAAAATTAGTTAAAAATTGATTGTAATTTAAAGCAGAAATATTTTTAATTTCATAAAATTGATTGGTTTTTATTGAGATATTTTATTCTCATTCATTTTAATAATGTTTCAAATAGTATGTATTTATAACCGAAGTAAAAAAAAAACTATTCTCTAATAAAATTACACGAAAAAACTATTTATTGTTTATTAAGATTTCTATTTCTGTAATATAATGGCAAAAATGTCAAATTATTGATATTATTATTATTTTTATGTAAAGTCTAGACTTTAGACTATTGACTCATTTGAAACAACTAGGTTATTTTTGATTTAAAATAGTCTATTAATAATTTTACTACAATACATAATACGCTTTAAGTTCATAATATA